AAGTTTTACTATACGACTTTATAATAACGGTTCTTTTAAAAATATATTACTATCCAAAGATCTGCGGTTTTAAATGTTGTTGAATATTTTAAAAATGTAATGGAAAATATATGATATTAAAGAAACATAAAAAAAAAAAAAGTATTTACAAATTGAACGTCCGTCGAAACGTCAAAAATATAATAATATGACAAATTAACAATGTAAATGTCCGATGTTGGTTTTTTCGTAACCAAAAGCCATCTAAATAGATATACATTTTACAATATACGTGATATAGTAAAAGAAGTCCAAGGATAATAGGGACGGGTACAGCCACTGTTGTAGGTGGAAAGTTGGGAAGGTAGAATATAGAAGGGAATTTAATTTATATCTGTAAGCAACGATAAACCATTGCTAACAGAAAAAAGATTCTGAGTGAAGTTCAGTTAATAGTGATGCTTTATCAACAATATATATTAAAAATTATAGTTGAATAATTAAATAGGCATTATACATTTTCTTTAATAATATTAGTTTGATATTGATCCGATTTCGCCGTTTTTCTACGATTTTTTCAGTTTTCCCATGTTTTTTCCTGGTTTTTCACATTTTCTGGGAAAACTCTTTGGGAAAAATGACCTCTATAAAGTACCTTCCCAGTCTAATTTTCTTTCAGAAAAAGTGCTATTAATGAAAATCGGAGCAAAATTGCTAATAGAAAAGCTATTCACAAGAAAAAAAATTCAAAATATTTTTTAACTAATATCTACATTTTGGGTTTTCTTCCGTTTTACCCTGGTTGTTTCTATTTGATGAGGAATATCCTGGGAAAATAACCTCCTTAAAGCATTTTCCCACACCGATTCCCTTTCAGAAATGATGCTACATTTAAAAATCGGAACAAGATCTCTGATAGAAAAGTTGACCAAAGAAAAAAAAATAAACAAAACCATAAGCTTATTCAATCCACTCAGAATCTAACAAAATGCAGCATTCTATAGATTAATCTAATCAAATATAATTTAAATTTACGAATTGATTTTTAAATCGAATAGATTTCGTTATAAAGATGGTTGTACAATAATTTGCTGCTTTTTTTTATCATGAAGTATTTAGGCGCAGTAAAAAATACTAGAAAAGCTTTACCCGATTAAATATTTATAGACGAGCAGATGAACTTTTGTATGCCACTTTAAAATAACTGTATTGCGAAGTTTAAGGATATGTTTCTTTGAAATCACAAACAAACTTAAAGGTAAAGAAATAGTGAGAAAAAAATTCGAAAAACGAGAACCTTATATAGGACGATTATTATTACCCTCTCATCTCAATCGGTCTAAATTTTAAACTCATAAACGGTAAATCCGATATTAGTGTAGTTATGCGTATTACAATTTTTAGAAAAATATTTGTTTTCAGTAATATATGAATAATGGTGAGTGGGGGAGGGGTCGGATAACCTATCAAAACCAAATACTTGTTTAAGGTATAATGAAAAAATTAAACATTTAAAATTTGTTGTAATAAATATTAATCTTAAATAGTTCCGTAATATGATTGACCTGCAAGAAAATCACCGGACTATGATAAAATAATCACTTCGTATATTTCTATGCTCTATACTTTATAATATTAAACTCGATATTTGAAAGCAATGATTTATTTGGTACCATTGCTTTCAATATTTAAAACAATAAATTATTATCTTAACTGGCCACTTTTCCATTTTGATTTTTCTCGAAATACATTAGATAGGGGAATACACCGATCGGTTCCCGCGAACGACAGTCTCCGGCTATTACAGAATAGTAAATGTATTTTATTCACTAACGAACTGACGCGAAATAAATATTATAATACCATTCATAGATAATGCATAACTGATATACTATAGATATTTAATACCAGGCGCTCTAGTACTTCTGGCTTACTACTAACCCATAAAAAATACACTCTTTTTAATTTATCCTCGCATCAAACTGAGTTAATATCATTGATTTCAATTATCATTATTACACTCGCGCATGGCAACAAGAAATAATTCATGGAACAAAAGTCAATTTATTGGCGAGTAGGTTAGAAGTAGGAGTAGGTTATAATTTTAATATTGCTATCTCTCTTAATTTTCTCTCTTGTTCTAAATTTTACTTAACATGTATACACAATGTTATGTCCTATCCAAGAAAGGGGCGAAAGAGCGATCGCTCCCTCTAAGTCCATTTCCCGATATACTTTAAATTTGATTTTCACCATAAATGTGTACCTTATATGTATTTTCAAAATCACCACAACCGCTTATTATCTTGTTCTGGAACCACCCTTGGTTCTATCTATAATATATTTTCTATGATAATATTAAAATTCACGACTCGGACAGATAAGGCAGACAGATAGTGAAGCATTTTATTGAACACACTTGTTCGAAATTGAAATAACTACGGTATTTCGTTTTAATCGAAATTTTATAGAAAAAATACCTACCCTATATTGGAAATTATTATGTGGATCTATCCATGTATAATAATAATAAAATATTTACTAAGTTAAAATATAGTATATATGATCAAAATTTGATATTCAGGGAAGGACAGTGAAAATGATTACTTCTCATCAACGTGTATCAAAAATATACCTTGAGAAATATGAAATCAAATTATTAAATTATCAAACTAAATTATTCAGTACACGACTGAAAAATAAAAATCCGAATTCATCCGGATACTTGAATAATTTCTTACTGGATACTATAAAGACATTGTATATTTTGTATCAGATTGCCAGGAGCCGCCCCGGAAAAGACTATATTATTTTAATAACGCTAAGAAGATATTTGTACACATTTAAAAAAAAAAGGGTAAATTTGTTTTATTATTATTAATTTTTTAACATTATTTGTATTAAAATACAAATTATTCATCGTCAGAATTCGATGAAGCAAAGAATAATAAAATATTTTAGATTGAAAATGCTGATTATGTTTATGGTGATTTTTTCTGTAAATATTGTAGACCTACTGTGCAGCAAAGTCATTTTGTATTTGCCAATAGCGTTAGTATAAAATGATTTTAGGTATATACACGGTAAATTAAATCTCTAATACGAAATCAGGGCACGTTTGTGTTTTAAAATAAGCATTGCCGTAAGTAATTTGATGTTGATAAAAATTATTAACAAGCCCGTGTATTGATAATCAAACGTAAGCAGGAGTATTTAATTGAACCACCACCACTTATTTATTTGAATAAATAAATTCCCTAATTTAATGAAATCCTAAAGCTATGTTACTAAAAAAAAAAAAAGGAGCTGATACTGGGGATGGGAGTGGCTATTGTTGTAGGTGAGAATTTGGGAAGATAGGATACATAAGGTTATTTTATTTATATCTGTAAGCAACAATAATAAACCATTGCTTGACGAAAGACGATTCCGAGCGCAGTTCGGTCATACATAATTTAAATGTAAATGTTTAATTAATTTAAAATTTCGAAAGTACCTTGTATGAAGAATTATGTTATAAAATTTGGTAAAATTATTTTTTCTGCAAAATAATGGCAATATATTTTTTTGTAAAATTTTCGAGGTCAAAGTTAATGATAGTAAAAGGTTAAAAATAAAATAAAATTCAGTTTTTTTTTTTTTTGTGCATATTCTCCAATTTTACCTCCTATAACTTCTCACCCTTAATTATTAAATATTTAAAACTTTATAGGTAGGTGGATTTATCTAGATCCTTTTTAATTTTTACTTTTAATACAAAAATATCTCTATTTATAGTAAGAAACAAAATATATTGATATATTGATAAATAGTCTGCAAGATTACATGGTGATAGGAAAGAAAACAATTTTCCAGAGACTATAATATGGTATTATCACATAATTATCTATGATCTGATATCTATTTTATAGTAATATAATATTAAATCATTATTTTTATGTAGTATTCAATATAATATATAATTATGAATTGTACAACATTATCTTGATTTTCCCAAAACTGCACACCTCTTGAGAAAACCGATTTAATGCATGATAATAATAGCAATTTATAATAGTACAATAATATAATGTTTGTACTGTTGATAGGTACGACATATTATACTCGCATAGTTGTCTACATTTCGTTTAAATTCTGATTGTCGTTTATTAGACAAATATGTTTACCCATAATGAGTAAGTGGGTTCATATTTTTTTGTATAAAAAAAAAAACAAAACAAAACATTTTATCAAATGAACGTGCAATCGTTTATTACAACATAAATCAAATAATCCTGTTAAAAAAATATATTCAAACAGAAATCGATATTATATTTTAAGTTTTCAGTCTCAAACACGTACATTTTACATTAATTTTTCACAAGATAATAATTTATAATATTATTAAAAAAAAAAAAAAAAAAAAAAAACAATAGCACTCACTTATTTATGTAATAACATTTATTGCAATAAATTAGATTAAATTAAATTAAATAAAATAAGTCTACTCTCCCCCTTATATGAATTCGCACTAATTACTACTTACATGGGCGTTTTTCATAAAAAAAAATTTTTAATAGAATAAACATAGGTTTACGCCTATGTTTATTCTATTAAACACTATTTACATAGTGTTTTTCACTTAAGACGAACGTGATGATATTTACTAGCAAAGAAAAAATTGTCCTATCAACAATAAATACCATAGATTAAAATCTTTATCTTATTTTTTATTATTTATCATCAGGTATATTTTCATGGATTTCTTAGATTTTTATTTAGTGTTAGCAATCGGTCTTTGAGCGTGAGAATCCGCCGAAACGTACTCATATGGATAAATATATATATCTAGTTTTTTTTGTCATTGATATTCTTAAAATGTTACATGCTTAAAATATTATCAATTTTCAAATACTTATAAATATTTTTTTATGGATAATAATCTAAAAAAAACCTTACACCTAATACAATTAAAACGATCGATAAATATATTCGTTTTGCCGAAGGAGGTCACGAAATTTTCCGTCTGTTCGAAACCAACCCTAACCCGACCCCGGCGAAGTAGTCCACGTGTACAAACCGTCGCCGCCGTTCGGCCACTGCTGTTGCAGTATAGGGACACTGTAGCACCGCATGTCGCAGTATCGCTGTTGATGGGGATGATCGGCCGCGGCCGTCGTGACTGTCGTCTTGGTGGTTGTCACGGCCACAGTAAATGCAGCGGGCGGTACCTCGGTCGGTTCACCGCCGAGCAGGTTGTGCAGAGCCATGATGTACGTCTGGGCCATTTGGAGCGTTTCGAACTTGGACAACTTGCGTTCGTCATCGGCGGCCGGTACTACACCCCGGAGTCGGTCGAACGCTTCGTTCAGGTTGTTCATGCGGCGCCTCTCGCGCGCGTTGGCCGCCAATCTCCGGCGTTTTCGCCCCGTCGAAATCGGATCGGCCGCCCGCACGACGCCACGGCGACCCGTCGCCATTTCGCTCCCGTCGCTGGTCACCGAACTGCAATAATCGGCCGCCGCCGTCACCGTGAAGTCCGCGAAATGATCGGACGCTGCCGACGTCCCGGCCGCCGACGCCGCCACCGAATTGGGTTCGTATCGTCGGGCAAACGGGTCGTCGTCGAAAGATTCGCAATAGTACTGCAACTGTTGCGCGAAATCCGCGCCGGCCCTCATCATGTCGACGGCGGTACGACGGGTAAACGGCCGATATCACGGTACGCGTGTCTTCTCGTGTTACGGCACGGTAATATACCTGCTGTAGCTACGTGTGCGGCGCGAAACGTATTACCGAACGGCCGGCGCTCGGTGGCCGTTATATAGGCGTCCGTCGGGTCTGCGCGCGGTAGCCTTTACAGAAAAAAAAAAAAAACCCACGATAATAACAGCCCGCCCTAATAGGGGGCGGGCACCCGGCACGGCGGCGGCAACAATTTGTACCGGTACGGCGGCAACCGGATCGCTCCGCGCGCGCGCGTGCGCGTCCGAGATCGCTGTCGTCGTCTCGCGGGGTAGCAGTGCGGTTGACGTCTACCTACCTGCCACACCGCGCGGTTGTATAGGCGGGTATATTACGTCTAAACGATAAATCGTTTTTTTTTTCACCCCGACCGATTTGCGTCTTCTTTATGACCGTATTTTTTTATTACCCGCCTGTGGTTTTTTTTCCCCGCTCCGCCTTCTGATTATTTATTGGAAACAATATTATGTTCGACTCGCACCTCGGGACACCACGACGACACGCGTTTCTCTTTCGTTTACCTTATATTTTATTTACCGTCGGAACCAGACAACGGCACTGTTATTATTTCAGACAACGCGATCCGGAATTATTGTATTTTCAGACGACGAAAATCCGAATTTTAATTTCTCGTATAATATTCGGATTTTTGTTTTGTTTTCATTTATTACGTTTTAATCCGAAAATCGATTTTCACACGGTGGTTATATTTTTGATTTTTAGCTCCGAGCGTACAACGAAGAAGCTATTATTTTTATTACGATGCGTTTTTTTCCGTAAAAAATCACTTTTTTTAGATTTTTACCACGGTGCAGATTTACCTATTTTGATAATTGAGAATTTTCCGCCCGATAGTATTGTGATAGTTAGTAATCTATCTATCACGAGATCTAATGCGAGATTTGATAGAACTCCGATACGTACTCGAATTGAACATTTTTTTTCGAAACTGCCAATGCTTTCCAAAAAAAAAAAAATTAAAAATACTTTTTCAACGATAGTAAAACGGTAAAGTCAGGTTATTTTTTTCACACGGTACGTTAAAATAACTCATTTTTTTCGACCGGTGGTATTTTATTTACAAAACTCGTACAGATTTCCGGAAGGTTTTCTCAGAAATTGAAAATTCTGACAACAAACGACGTAATACAAATTGGTTTTATTTCTGTCGATTTCTGGGTAATGGAACTTTGCTTAGAATGCATATCTCTTTAATTGCGATGATATTGTATCATTTCTATTAGTTAACATTTATTATAATTAATAAAATAATAATTATTACCTAACCTGTATACATTACATATTACACCAAACTCACCCCCTACAATAGACACCTAAACCGTGGTGCAAAGTATATCCGACTTTTTCTATTTACAATTGAGTATATACTTTCTAATATTCTAGATTATATTTGAATTTATTTGGAAAAAAAAATTTCACTAATAAAAATCAATACATAAAATAATGTCAAACATCCCAGATCTGAATATAAAAATGAATTTCGGATCCACGAACTCCGCCGCGGCATATTCGGATTTTTCCCATCGCTGTATTACGTGTGGTGATACAAACATATAAGAACGTACCTTAAAAAAAAAAAAACCCTAACCATTTGATTATGCGCGAATAAAATATATCCGTTAAATGTTCGCACGGCGAGGACCACTTGTGACTATAGGTACTGTGTAATGGTCGAGCCCCAGAAGGGTATTTTAGATTTGTAATCGTATTAGTTCCTACAGCGAATCCGCGGGAAAATGAGATTATTTCAATTTACATTTTTACCGATTACGAGTTTACAATTATTTCATTTAATCGTGATAATATAATGTTTAGAGAGCGTACTCTGCGAGCGTGCAAAATTACCGGTTTCTAAACATATTTGAAATAATAGTGTATAATTTATTCCATAGACGAAGAATTTGGTGACAGCTGAACAAGTATACTATACTTATCTGGAACCTAAATAAATTAAACAGTTATGTAATCAATGAATAGTCGACACGACATTTTTAAAATTCTAAAAATACTTATAAGGGATATAGAGGTCTACAACCCTCATAAACTTACTTATAGCTTAAAAAACCAAGCAATAGGAAGAGTTACAACACTCAACTCTCCTGGCTACGCCACTGATTGGATACCTATACCAATACGCCAGTGGCGGATTTTCAACATTATTTTTGGAGGGGTCTTGAAAAATCATATGTATTTCAAAAGTATATATTCATTGATATACCTATTTTAGACGACATTTTATTGCAATTATATCTGTATCTGAGGAAGTTTAGAGACTCTGCTCCCTCCCCCCCCCGTAAATTACCACTACAATAGACATATCATCTTTGATGTCCAATCAATTTCGTGATTTCATTTTGATTGCGATCAATGAAGAAAATCCATACATTCATTTTTGGGTTATTTGAAAAAAAAAATTCACAGCCACTTCATGGACTTCCGTGTAACCAACTATGGAAGGGTCTACAGATTACCAATTAAAAATTTCTGAACTATACTGATGGACATAACCGGATTATAAGGTGTTCTAAACTTAAACCGTGTCTTGTTTAAATAAAATATCGAATTCTGTTACGTTTTTATTCCATGATATTTTCATTATGAGTAAGTATCTACATTATAAACCTACTACTTGTAGTATTATGTGAACATATAGAATATTCTACTTTTGATATATTATGAGAAAGTGTATCGACGACGTGACAAAACGTCAGTTGGGTGACCATCTGGACGTCGATCGACATATGTAGTAGGTAGTTTTCTTTTTCAAACAACACAATAATTATTATTAACGTCTAATACCTATGTATTATAATTATAATATTGCGAGATAACTGACCAATTTAAACAATTTTAAAAAAAACTTTAAAAATCGTTATACCGTAAGCAATTATATTTTATTATTGCTATTTGTTAGTGCACTTATTTGTTTTGTTCCTGGATAGCTAATATATATATATATAAGGAAGAAAGTCCTTCAGAATAAACAACAAAACGTTGGTTTTAATAGACACTATATAGGTACTAACCTACATTTTACGCGATGAGAAATCCACAAATCGCGTTTTAAATGTTTTGAGAGCCCATTCTCGCGCTGATTAAATTTTATATTATTCTTAATGTTCACGCACTAAATAAATTCATTTATTTGTAAAATTTTGTGTTTTAACGAGAAATGTCGAGATTTATATACTCCTACAGGCTCATCAAAGTAATTGTGTTAAACAGTGGCGTAATTACGAGAGAGGGAAATTCGGGAGATATATCTCCCCCTTGAATCTATTATTCATATGTCATTTAAATTCAAATGTCTTTACTTTTTAGTTAGAAAAATCAAAAAATTGATGTGTTGATTACCTAATGTGACCTTTACCTATTATAGTTAATAATGTAAATTTGTCAAAAAACCTGAACGTATTTTTAGCCTGGGTACATATTATACAATATAACACAATTTTTAAATTCAGTATCTCCCTCCTTGGCAAACTCCTAAATATTCTACTGGTGTTAAAATTTTGAAATAATTCATGGAAATAAAACTTTTGTGGAGGATGTGCCTTCACAATGTTGTAACGTCCAAGCCCCGTCTAAACGTCGGTTGGCAAAACTGTAGTTAATAAACCACATTCAAATTGTAAAAAATGTAATAAAACTCTGGTAACCACTTTTTTAGATAAATATTATAAAAAAACAAAAAAACTAAATATCGGATCGTCAAAAATTCGCTAGGTGAAAATTCGACTCTAGTGATGAAGCTCTGCTGTTCACGAAAGTTTAAAAATAAAAAAAACTAAACCAGAGTTGTATTAAAGGACGAATAATTATTTAAATTCCCCCTCTGTATTATACACGGCACACATACACTTGTAATGTATTTATGTACATGGGTATCGATAATTGATTAAAAATCGATTTTTTTTCTCTTCGTGCAGTAGGCATACTACAGCCATAAGGTAAAACGTTCAATTTTTTATACGGCGCTTTTTTGATAAATCAAATTATTATAATTTCGCAAATATATGCGACACGTAATTACAATTAACACGAAGATAGTTGTATACTCGCTGTTTAGCTGGACAATTTTTGTTCGCTTATGCTATGCTTTGAACATTGATTTTTGAAGATTAAACATTTCAACTCAACTTTAACCTTTAAAGAAGGTTTAACATTGTAATATGATATGTGGGTTATAATGCTACGTGCATTTTGAAGACCTATCGATACAATTTCTCTAGAGACAAGGCCTGCAATATTTGATTATTGAAATTGATTTCGGTAATTTTCGTTTTGTATTTATAGTACATTCCAAACTAGAATTATTTATTAACATAATGATTTTCGTTGATAAAATGTTTAAATCGTCAACAATAATTTTAGTATGAGTTATCGAAGACATCCCCAAAACACCGATCGTTTAAATTTTAAAACCAAAAACGTCACCCAGAATAAATTAACTGGAATATATCATCAACTCTGGGCGGGATATTCGTTTATTTAAATTATATTATTGTCTTGTCTTGGAAAAAGCAAAAAAATAAATTATTGTAGTTATTCGACGACTATAATTACATAATTTCGCCAACTTTACTTTTTAATTATTTTAAATCATTAACCGCACTAAAAAATAAGTCGTTTAAACTCTAAATGTTATAATTTTGCTATAACTATTAAACAATTTAATAAATTGATGATTTTGGTTTTTTTTTTTTTTTTGGAACGATTAGAAGTTCATTTATTAATAAGAAATACATTTTCTCTTATGGCATACTTCTACTTTCTGAATTGTTGTCACCGTGGCAAAGTATTAAGATTATCCAGATAAGTAATCTAAAATATAATTTAAACAATGACATACCATATTTATGTAGATTGCATCGAAATATTTTATGTTTATCTTTTTAACTATTTTTATTAAATACGC